GGCTCAGTGGTTTAAATCAAACAGAAAACAAAGGACAGAAAATGTGTTGTCCTATACACCTGCTGTCTATGTTATAATATTACACTAAGTTTCAGTATATAATGATTTAATTATGCCAACAGATAACTCATTGAAGCCATATGTATTCATAAAGTCATAAATCTTGCGTCTCTTTTAACAAACGATCAGTTCAGCATAATTCAAACCAAGTACATGAAGCAAAGTTTGGATCTGAAAGGCCAAAAACATTCTGGGAGGTAAAAAATCCTCCAATCCTGGAGGTGTTGAGGGTCAGCGAGCACCAGCAGACAGGCCAGGACAAAGCAGCGCTGTGGTCTGCAATTAAAAGATAGTGGAAATGTCATGTTCACAACCACAAGGGTGCAAAAAAGTGAGCATTTTCAGGATCAAGCGTGGAAACGACTTCGCTGATTTGGAAAAGTTTGCTAATGGGACCCATAACGAGGTGCTGGCGTCTCGGGTGTTTGCGCCTCCTGAGAGGAGAATCTGTTGTGGGTGAGTTGAGGATGAAAGATGCATTTCTGCCCACAGTGGCTGTCACTTTCTTAAAGTCTCGTTACTGTGAAACAAACACAACAATTTAAGCCGAGCAGCAAAGTGTTCGCCATTCATCTTGTTCAGGACGCTCGAGAAAATGTTGCAGGAAGGTGAACGATCGAGGGGGCGTTTTTCTTTCTGCCAACACGGCAAAAAAAGTTTAAATCACTGCACAAGATAAAACGTTGATTGACTTGATGAAATATGTAACAAGATAGAAAAGTCAGTGCTAGATTCAAAATACTGGAGCCGAACCTTTATTAGGTGTGTGCTTCCAGTTTTGCTTTTCGTTACACTTTGCCTTCATTAACAAGTATTTAGGTGAAAAATAGGAACATTTACTTTCTCCCCAACCCAACCCCGAACATCTCTGCAGCTCATTACACCTGAGACAATTTCCCAGGAAGGAAAAGAGACGGCAGCCGCTCAGTGCTCAGCATCCATTTCCTTTACTGTGGAGCTGCAGACAGAAATATGCGGGAAGCATCTTTTCCTCTTTGGTTAAATGTGACAGAGCGCCGCTGCGAGTGCAGCAGAGGCTAATGATCTTCTCTGCTGCCGAGTGCATTACAGAACAAACACTCCACTTTTAGCGTGGAGGAAACTCTAAATTCAAGTCGTTCATCTTTCCGCTCCGTCCCATCACGTCTCCCCCGTGCGACGCGTTACACACATTAGCAGACGCTAACGACGTTCTCTGCTTTTTAAGCGACGAGCCTGCGACACCCGCTGATGATGAATGGCTCCTGTTAGGTAGTGAGGGATGAGATGATCACCTGGGGAAGGATGACGAGAGAGAGGAGGGGGGATGATTGCGTTTTTTAAGGTGGAGATAGATGATGTGACAAACGGCGCCCGTGTAATCTTGGGATTTGAACCTATGAGGGATGGAGCGAACGGCGAGGGAGGCATGACGGGGAATGCAGAGAGGATGATTGGGTTTTTAGCCCCAAACTGAAGATGGATAATGTGACAGACGAGGCAGATTAAGCTGTGTTTGATCCACTGAAGGATGGGCCGATCAGTGAGGGAGACGTGGGGGGTGATACAGAGAGGGCGGCGGGAAACAAATATGATGTGATAGAAAAGTCACTACCAACTTGATGGCAAAGAGATTTAAGAGCGAGAATTAGAAGATAATTGACTTTCATCGCCTCGGTGTGGAATTTATTGTGACGAGGAATGAATTTAAGAGACAGGAGGGTGTTTTTAATTTGGGCAATTTGGATTTTGAAGCAGCTTTGAATCTGTAAGAAGCACTAAAGAGAAAAGATTGTAAAGCAGCATAATTACAGTCATTTTATTTGGAAAAATACCTTCAAGCAAGAAGAGTTCTGCTTATCTTTTCAAACGAGGAGGTTTCAGGTGTTCTCATTAACAGAACATCACACAGTGTTTTGTCAGAAGCCGCTGACATCACAGAGAAGTGGACATGTTTACTGTGGCGGCGAAGCGGCGGTCTAAGCATTCGCAGCCTGTTAAACATCAACACTGGATGCACTGACTGAGCCTGCCACAGCAGCTTAGCTGATTTCAAACACAGCCACAGTGTGTTTGTCAGCTGATGAGTCAAGTTGGTGATTCCAGCATGATTCATTTTTTCTGTAACATCATTTAGTCACCAGTTGATGACCAATCAGATAGAGCCGCGCTTTTAAAGATGACACCTTCAAAGCATCAAAAGATCATTTTGAACCAGTGCTCGTCCCTCGGTGCTTGTTATCCTTCCTGTTGGCTCGCGTGGCTGCTGGAGAAAAAGAAGCAGACAGTTACTCATGTAGCATCGTGGACGAGTGGTTTCTCCGCTGCAGCCCACAGTCTGCATCAGAGTTTTTCTCTCCTCAAAGACGTTAAGTCAGCGGCTCGTGACGCTGTTAGAGCCGTCTGTAAACATCTGGGTAGTTCAAGTAAACATGCATTTAAATTTGAAAAAATAGCAACACTCAAGCAAAAATAGATGTTTTTTAGGGCTTTAATGTTTCGATTTACTTTAGGTTTATCCCCGTGTAGCAGCCTGGAAACGTCTGGGAACCGAGGAGAGAAGTTTCTGGAGAGGAATGTTGTCCCATTCTGGGGCGATCATGGCTGAAGAGTTGGGAGTTCGTCTTGTAATCAGAAGGTTGCCGGTTCGAGCCCCAGCTCGGACAGTCTCGTCGTTGTGTCCTTGGGCAAGACACTTCACCCGTTGCCTACTGGTGGTGGTCAGAGGGCCCAGTGGCACCAGTGTCCGGCAGCCTCGCCTCTGTCAGTGCGCCCCAGGGTGGCTGTGGCTACAATGTAGCTGCCATCACCAGTGTGTGAATGTGTGGATGACTGGATGTGTAAAGTGCTTTGGGGTCCTAGTAAAGCGCTATATAAATACAGGCCATTTACCATTGTTGGCTGATAGAAAATTCTAGTTCTTCAACGTTTTAGAGTTGTCTTTATAAAAGTTTTTGATTGATGCTCTAAATGTTTCAGTTGGGTATTGGCTTGCTGAGAAATGCAAAGTCTCCCCTGGATGTTGCTCTAAAACCCGAGCGCGCCTTTCAGCACTGATGGTGCTTTTCCAGATGTTCCAGCTGCCACTTCCGTAGACATCCATGCGTTCCTTTGCCATCAACCATGCAAACTTCAGAACAGAAATAAAGAACTTTCCACTTTGTCTCAGTCCAAAAAGAAGGAGGTCGTGTTTCTGGGTCGTGTTTCCATGCGGCTTCTTTATGTGACCGAGCTTTAACCTGCAGTGATGCCGTGGTTTCCATGACAGCATCATGCCTGTTTTTAAAGGAGCCCCAAAGTCACTGATTTTTGGTCTGTTTCCTGCACACAGAGATTCCAAAAATCAGTTTCTTTGCTCTCTCCGTCTCTCAGCTGTTTTTGAGATCTTCTGCTGCCATCTGACTAATATTTAAAAATATTGTTGATTTCTGAGTTCTGTGTTGGAGGCTGAATCAAATATAGATTTATGAGATTTACACATGATTGCATTCTGCTTTTGCTGACTTCTTTCCAGTTTTTTCACAATTGGGTTTGTAATTAGATCATTTTCCTTGTTTTCTAACCGAGACTCAAGAATAACATTTTGCTGCTCAATTAAATTGTTGGCTGTTGTCTTGGAAGACTTAATGCTCTGCTGTGTAAAAATGCTTTAATTTCCCACAGGAACTAAAAAAGTGGGCAGCAGCTCGGGGACTCGATGTCATCTCAACAACTGTTAGATGATAGATGCACAGAGCACAATGGAGGAAGCAGGACGAGGTCTGCATGCAGAATTAGTACCCCAGATCCTCAGCACCCAAAAAAGCATTTTTTTACTCTGAAAGTTTCATTAAACCTCCAGATTCTCATTACCCTCAGGCCTGAAGGGCGAAGACACAGTGGGAGGAAATGCAGACGGAGTTCAGAGGATGATGGTAATTTTCTCAGGACCAGGAAGGGCACAGTGAAAATAGATAATACGACCGAAGAGGCGGGTATAACAGAGGGATTTGAACACATGAGGGTGCAGCAGACACCGGGGGTGTGGGGGGAGCACGGCTCTGTTGCAGAGAGCATGATTAGCTTTTTAATGGTGATCGGCCGGGAAGGTGAAGAGGGAAAATGAGGCAGAAGAGCCGGCATAATTTGGAGGGTTCGGTTGCAGTAATGGTGAGCCGGCTGCAGCTCAGCGAGAGCGATGGGAGGTTTTTAGCATTTCAAATGTGCAACTCACCAGCCAGCAGATTCACTCGGGGATTTCACCCAAAAAGTCTCACAGCTTCCCATTAACCACGGCGATCTGGAATCTATCACGGCTGTGGGAGAGACTGCACGGAGGTTATAAACGTATGTGAATGTGCAGACGGCTCGAAAAGCACACGTTCCTCAAGGAAAGCACTTTATTTTAAGATTGGTATTATTCCGGCCATTTCAAAAGACGTGTCCCAGCTGTCGAGCCAGCGATAAGTCCTCTGGTTTTAATATCGCTCTGGCAGATTAATTCGACTGTACACTCTGTAACAGTGGGGAGACTTTACTTTTCTGCTGTGCCGACAGTTGAAATTTTATTAGGCGTTATCAAACTTTTAGGCCTTTTTTGACTCGTCATTATCTCCCTTTTGCCAACTCGGCGTCTGCCCTTGCAGTTCCTCTCTGTACTTCCTGTCTCATTATTAAAGCTCATTCTAATCATTCTGTACTGGAATATATTTAATGCTTTTGCTTCTGCTGGATTCACGTTATTTCGATTTAAACTGTGGCTTCAGGTTGTTGGTAAACAGCTGACTTCTCCTCTTTCACTTTCATGTTTTTCTCTGTTGTCTTTGTTAATGATGTTCTGCTGCACCATGTTTCTCTCTCTTTTCCCTGTTCTGACTCCAGACACTCACACATAAATGCCCAAATATTTGCCTATATCGATATTTGTTCCTTAGTATTTGTTAACACTTTGCATACATATAATAATAATATAATAATCTGTCTTTTCTCGTCCCTCTCTGCTTCTCAGTTCCTCTCTTAGCTCCCAGGAACCTGCGTGTCTCAGAGGAATGGTACAATCGCTTCAAGATCAGCTGGGATGTTCCACCGTCGCCCACAATGGGGTACAGGGTCATCTACCAGCCTCTAACTGGTAATTTAAACAC